CCTCGACGACTGGCCTTTGCTCGATAAGGCGCAAAAGTGCGGTCGGAGTGCCTTGCCGGGCGGCGGCCATTATCCCTGTGATCGTCCCACAAGGTGGTGACTACCCCCAGCTATGCCAATCCACTGTGAACCAGTGAATTCCCAGCATACCACCCCAAATGAGTAGAACAAATATGGAAACGCTTGAGAAACTCCGCGGTCGTCACTTGGAGCGACCAATAATACCAGGCGTAGAAATAGTACTGGTATGTCTCTTTGTGTAGCCCTCGTCTCTACCCACCGAGGGCGGTGTGCGAACGAGGTGCCTGTGATGTATACCTAGAAAATTACAAGGAGTTCCATACTTGCAGGTGTGGAGTGTAACAGGTGTGTTGAGCTGGTGCTACAGGGAGGTGAGATGGTGTTTCTATGTATGATGACCTAAGGTGCTATATTCCATACAGGTGGAGCAGTCCGAAGTGTTAAATGATATTGTAAGCAGGGTAACCAAACTCCTCATTGTTCTTCTGAGGAAGGCCAGCTCAATTGTATTTTTTGTTACCATATAGTATATAAAGAATAAATTAGTTAAGACATGTTATGGTTTCACCCTTCGTTCCCCCTATCGATCTGGTCAATGAAAAACCCAACCCAATGCCTAGTCCACTCTGCCCGCTACCTAACGAGTTACATACTGTCCAGAGGGGGTCTGGTGGCAGCGACCCTTAGAAATTAAGATTATAGTTAAGTATTTCCCCTTAGAATTAGTGACCCCAGTCTGGCAGTATATGAGAAGGGTGTTTGAGTACCTCTTACTATCATGTCCTGTTGACCCGAGACACACATGAGAAGGGTGTTTGAGTACATCTCACTGTTATGTCCTGTTGTACATATGTTCTACAATTTTGGGGTTGTAATAAAATAAAATATTCAGCAATAGTTTAAATACTTATATCTCATTTTGTAAGATATTTATGTTTATTGCACATCTTGGCTAAGTGTATACAGTTATACTGCCCTTTAATTGGTCACTTAATATTAGGGTTTACTTCCCAACTTAGGGTCGCTGCCGTCAGACCGCAGGCCAGTATGTGTAGTTGTTCTTTGGGGAGCTGGCAAAGAAGTCTAGCAGTGTGAGTTTAGTCTAGCAGTGTGAGTTTAGTCAAGGAGTGTGAGTTTAATCTAGCAGTGAGTTTAGTCTAGCAGTGTGAATTTAGTCTAGCTGTGTGAGTTTAGTCTAGCTGTGTGAGTTTAGTCTAGCAGTGTGGGTTTAGTCTAGCAGTTAGTTCAACCGGGGTCACATGAAACACAATACATTTAGTGAAACGGACAAAACATTAAGTGTACTCACTGAGATATATCCATCCTGAAGAAACACGGCCAACAAGATGTATGTCTACACCTAACCAAATCCAACCAGACTCTGTGTTTGAAAACACATCACGTCTCACAGGCTCTCTTATTGGTTCAGGCCTAAGACATTCACACTCACAAGTCACTGTGATTGGCTCATGTTTGACGGGAAATACTAACTCATGGCATTGTTACAATGTAGATAATTTTCTTTATTAATATGTACTGTATTGTACATTTTTAGATAAAGTAAAATATCCATTGGAATGCATCGTTCGGGATACACAAATCTTACCACACTGATCATCATGTGACTGATTTAACGAAATCCGTCATGTACTGGTTTTTTTCTGGGCGAATTGTTTATCATCTTGTTTAACTTCCCTTTTGGGTTCTTAATGGTTACAAATTTATTTCAGATGAGGACCTATTGTTTTCAATGAACTATATTGCTTAATCTGAAAAAAAAATTATTGAAATAAGCAGGTATTGTAATTTCCCCATATATCGATGAACTGTGCCAGCGAATCAGATATAGTGCATAGGAGGCAGAGCATCATTGCCTTATAACTTTGAATGTCATATACTGTAGACGTTTGTGTATAAATTTGATATAAGTATATGTTCACAGTTTATTCCCGTTTTATTTATTAGGTCAGAACCAGCATAACTCTTTGTAGCAATAAGGGGTATATAAATTTATGGTTACATTTGTATAAAATTATATAAGCAAAAACAACCACAAAGTTGAAAGTCAAATAAAATAAAATGAACACTGCTTAGTGCTTACACAAACCAAATCCCTTCACCAAAACAAGCCGAAAGAAACACAATTGAAATACAAAATAAAAGGGAAAAATAGTGTGACCCAATAAATAAGCACACGTCAGTAACTGACCAAATTGAACGAGCGACGAAGGATAAGTTCTCTTTGTGAGACCAGAGGATCAACTGACTAAGAGCTTATAAATTTAGGCAGAGATAAGCTGTAGTGTATTGTGAATCCTTGCTATCAGGGATTTCATCGTTTGAGGGCCGGTTAAACTATTTTACATCGCTTGTGGACTACTGTGAGGTGGTTATTAATGGTCAGCCGGCTCAAGACAACTAAGGGTGGAAATTGCTTAAGAATGTATATTTTGTCGTCTTTGAGAGCTGTGTCTCGTCACTCCAACTCCAAAAGTCCAGTGCAGTGGACGGAAATGGACAAACGCTCTCGACGGATCAGACAGGTGCAGCATAGATTTTCGGGGAATAGAATTTCTAGAAGAGGACATCTGCCAAAATGTTATCCCCTCCCCGAAGGTGCCAGCTGTGGAAGTAGAGTTTCTGGGGAAGGAGAGCTCAATGAAGAATTGGCCAGTTGACGAGCTGACTCTCCTCACCGAAATAATGAAGAACAATATTCCATGGAGACAGGGGAATGAGGAGACCGGAACCAAGGTTTCCTTCTCCACGTGTTAATGAGCTTTAAAGGGGTGGTTGAAGTTTGATGCAGTGAAACAGAGAGTAACACTCTATGAGAAGGGTTGGAAGAGTACAGCCCCTATCCCACCGGTTGAGGGGTAGACTGGAATGAAGGGGTGTCTGATGTTTGGTGAGCAGAGGATAGGGTTAGGCAGTACACCTGTATATCTACTGGATGAATTAATAAAGAAAGAAGAAGAGTTACAACACCATTAGCACAAATATGACAGATGGCGTTATACAGTATATAAAGAAAAGTAACTGTCCACACTGTGTGAAACATTATGAGACCACAGATGATAGATATTGGGACATGCATATACTTTAGTATATAGCTTAACATAAGTAATGCAATGTGTATTTATTTCAGCGTTATTAATATGATGTTCGGTTACCAAATGTAATAGGATCAATATGCCACACAGCCACCCATACCAACCCTCCCGGGACATCACGAGTTGCATGTAACATTTCGGAAGTCATCGGACCCATCCCAGCAGATACTTTTTGAGATACTGTACGCTAGCTCGGATAGCTGAGTTACACTGGGACTCTAAGGATACGTCTGAGATTATCATCTAAAGGTACAATGTGAGAAACAATTAGTCTCAAGATCATCGGCAGGCTCCCGTTGATGTAATGCTTTCATCAAGTCTAGTTGGACTAACAGAGTATCTTTACATCTACCAGGGGTGAGGACAACATAGTTTAGTCGGTTAAGCCGATGTGAGACAGTGTAGGGTCCTTTGAAATCGATTTAAAAGAGGAAACTTATGAATAGGTAAATATAAAATAACAGCTGTTCTGTCCATTAAGCTTGACGTCAAGGAACTCGTGACCTAGGATATTACCTCTCTCCGTTTTTCTCTTTCAACACCCATACTAACCGTCCCCTCAACAGGATTATTTTGGTCAGGTTTGATCTTGGTGAAGGAAGGTGACGGTAGACCGTTTCAGAGATAACTCCTAGTAAATGAGTCCCTTAACGACAACCTCTTTCAACTGTTTGGTTAAACTCGAAGGAGCCGGAATTTGATAAATGTGAGCTAGTTGACGCCAATCAAGTTTCCCTCCTTCAATTTGCTAACCGAAGGACTATCGACAAAATTACGATGATTAAATGAAGCCATTTTACTTGACCTTTTAGATAACAGGATTTTATTTTAATTTAAGATTGGAGTAAAGGTAGTCTTAATGAATTATGTTGAAAAATCATAGTTAGTGAAAGTTGGGTCACGTAGAATTCAGGATTAGTTTACAACTCGGCATTAGTTCATCGCAGACTTTACATTAAGATTTGAATTTCACTCTGCTAAATTGTGTGTTTCTCCGATACTTGTACAGTACAGCTAATTACCTAAGTAACTCTAAGGAAAATTGAACTGTCAAACAGGTAGAGTTCACAAACAAAATAGGCATCGGTCACAGAATGAAATATGAAATTAGGTTTTCCGTGACCTAAAACCTAAGTCAAGAGACTGTTTCTTTAAGTTGTTTGGTTATTATAGTTATATCCCTTAGAAAATTCACCCAATTCTGTTAATTAGCTGCATAGATTGACTCTACTTGTGTAAGTTAGATTGTGAACTTTAACTGACGTCGCCTTATTACTTTAAGCACCAGGGTCTGGAACACCAAATAACATTGACATAACTGTGCGAAATCGGTCACTAGGTACTAATGGGAGAAAGTAAACTTCTACCCGCCCATGCTCTTAAGCTTCCCTAAGGAGTTCTGCAGTCAGTAGTTTTGGGTACAGTCAAAGAAAAAAGTCATTTTACATCTTCTAGCGAATGTTCAGAATTCCACGAGGAAGAATTTGGGTAAAGTGACAGCGAAGCTTTGAAGTTAGAGTCTGTACGGGGAACTTTACCCAAATTCTTCACCGTGGGTTTCAGGCGCAGTAAGTGTAACACGACTTTTTCTTTGATTGTACATTTGAATAACTGCATATAAAGGCTAATGTCTGTGCGTTTGTTTGTGTATCTCTTTGCGACCCCCACTACCAAAGAAAGAAAATCCCCTTGAAAAAAAGCCAAAATTGGAAGTTGGGGGGGGGGGGGCTCGCCAACACCTAAATGTGAGAGTGTAATTCATATAGTGTTATGTGGAGGTGGTCTTATCCCCCTCCTAAATGTCAGTGTAGATGATAAAATTGCTGTAGTGTAGACAGAGTAGGTGATACAGAGTAAATGAAGATATTGAAGAGGATATAGTGTATATATTGGAGAATGTATAGTACAGGGTTCCAGATCATAGTGAAGACATGGGCATATAGGTTTTGGGCTGTGTAAATCTGGCCGTCATACTTTAAATCTACTGGAGAACTGTTGTGGTCTTGGTAGTTTGGTGCAACACTGTGCTGGGATGATGTCTGTGGTTAGTGTTCTTCTTTGTCTTCAGGAACGCTTGAGCTTACTCCTTGTTCAGGTAGTGTTGGAGGTCGACCTTCCTCAATGGCCAAGGACAACCTCAGCCCAAGGAATCCGCTGAAAACATATGAGCTAAAGACAGCAGCGACAAGGTGCTCGTAGGAGGGGTAGAAGGAGAGAGTAGAGGTGTAAACGGCGGTGAAGATGGCGCTGTCCATCAAAGGCCACAACACCTCCAGGATGGCCAACAGCGACATGTATCTTCCTACCTCGTCATTATCACACAGCTAAAACATGAACCTTACATTATTAAATTATACATAATTTTGTGTTGGTAAATGTATAAATACCAAGAAAACTTTTTAGAGAAGCCGACTTTTAGGTGAGGAAATAACGGAGTGATTTTGACACACTAAGTGACGGAATGTCGTATCGTTGCCACATATGGGAATGTTGGCTAAAGTTTGATATCGTGTGGATATTCGAGACAAAGAAATTTACAGAAAGTGTTCCTGGTTTTAATGTTTATTTCAGTAAATCAAATAACTTAGGGGTGCATACATACGTATACCCGAGGACTCCCCATATTATGGGTGAACGGAAATAGTCACAGGAAAAAAGTCACATGACTTGTACACATTGACAACACAATATATATATGATGGCATTGCACGTAGGTTAGGTTAAGTTAGGTTAGGTTAGGTTAAGTTTTTTCCGTGTCTTTTTTTCTGACTTTTTTCCCTGTGACTCTTTTCCTGGATTCATATTATGACTCGTCACTATTCGGTGCTCTAAGTGTGCGTGTGGTTGAACCCGGAAAAGTGATTATTGTGGGCGACCTATACACACGTGTATCGTTGATCTTGGATGAAGATGATAGTGTGTGTGTGTGTGTGTGTGTGTGTGTGTGTGTGTGTGTGTGTGTGTGTGTGTGTGTGGACCGTGAGGTGAAGGACGAGGTGGTAAATGGCTATGGTCGAGAGCTTGTAATAATAGTGGGAAGATGGCAGCTAATAATCTAACATGAGTTGGAATAAAAATTGATGGTAATTTGTCCTCTAACTGCGGAATGAGGTGGATATCAGAAATAGATCCATGTGTAAAGAAAAGAGTGGATTGATATCATTAAAGAATAAGAGTTATACAGGAATTTGTCCAGGATTAATTAGTAAACTGATCCTTCTATGATTTATGTTCGTGTTAAAGGAGTTTAAGGCAATATTTCTGCCCAATGTTATGGTGTTATAGTAAGCTAATTGTCCTGTTTAAAGGTGACAGAATGAACAGTAGAAATTGTAGGGACATTAGCATAATGGAAACCATGGCTAGAATGTGATATGATACTTTTGAAGAACAGGTAAGCTTCGTTTATGGAACAAATTGGGCAAATGTGAGCCAGGAGCCCAACAGATAGGAGGATGTGTGGAGCAGATTATGATTATGATATGTTGAGTAAGCACATATTATATAACATTAGGTTGTGGAAGAGTGATGGTAGCAGCGATAAAAGGGATGTACAGTTGCACGAGAAATGTGCTCAAGGCTCCAACATCGTCAGTTGGAGTGGGACATAAGGGGCTCCTCCAACCAGTTTACTGTAATTTTAACTTTTACTGGGCAACTTGTACGGTTCTACTTTGTTATCATGTCGACTGCTGTTTTTTGTCAATAAATTAACTGACTAACTGTGAAAAGTCATAGCATCAACCAGCTCCCAACAATGTTCTAAAGGAAGAGGAATTATCTGTAAAGGAGTTGGTGGAGCTGAGAGAGAGGGAGGAAGGGAAACATAGAGGCACCAACTGTCTATAAGAGACTCACTGACCAGCTGACCCAAAGAGAATTGGATATGGATCGAGACCTGGGGCAAAGTTTGCTGTCTGAGAGGACACGATGAACTATAGTGATAACTTTTAACTTTTATCCTCTTCGCCACTGATCGGCTCGTTAGCCGCTTGGGCGATCGGTCACGTCTGTGATTACTTTTTCTTTACATTTATCTTCTTCACCAAAAGATCGGCTCGCTAGCCGCCCGGGCTATCGGTCACGTCTCTGTCACGCACTGTTGGCAAATAATGGGCATGCACCGGCTCCTGAATGTACCTGAACCCGCTCCAGTGTTGGTCAAGTCTTGTCTTGAAAGAGCTCACACTCGGTGCCGTCACAACACTCTCTGGTAGATTGTTCCAAGAGTTTACAACCCTCGCTCCGAAAAAGTTTGCCCTCACAGTTTTCTGGATGTCATGGTTTTGGGGTGGATCGGTCCACCAAGATGAATCGGTGGTAGTAGGAGTGGATTATATTATATAAAGATAATAATATGTCGTATTTCTTATTTCTTACCGTAGAGTCCGATACCTTCACACTGATTACTTACAGGAGATTATGGCGTATCTACGTAGAAGTTCACTCCACCACTCGACATTCCATGATTTATACTTGATAAATGATGATTTAATGAATTCATTTAATTTTCAACATCTATCTAAGTTACTGGTTTTACTTTGTCATAACCAATCAGTCATTACCTTTAGTAATAATAAGATAGGATCACAGATACGGGCAGATAATTGCACTTACATTTATTTGTCAAGCTTCCATACAATGATTTACAATTTGCATGGCTATATGATTCACTCACGTTCACGCTGTAATAAAATTAATCTTCTAAAAGAGAACTTTAACTTGGGGACACATGTGATTACTCTACTATGGGTATAACTTAACAGAGCTTTAATTCTTCAAGTGATACATTTACTGCCAGCCTGGATTGCTCTTGTCGCAACCAGGCATCCACACGTGATATTTCCACGGGGATAACAACCTAGGTTAACACACTTAGTCTCGTGTCGACGACGGTTCACAGGACTGAGTGGCGGTGGAGGACTCTGTGTGGTGTGGTGTCCCACTCCCCCTTCAGGAGGGAGAGGATGGAGACGACGTCTTAACTAACCAATGGCTCAGGGGATACTACTTAAAATGAGGTTTTTGGGTGTGAAGCGATGAACAGTACAACACTGTTCCACTGCCCACCCCCCTAAAGGCTGGCTAACATCCACTAATTGAAAAATACATGTCCCAGTTATGCCTCGCCGGGTGTCTTATCTCTGGTAAAACAAACTTTGGAGTTGGTTGCGCGGGTAAGCCTAACGCAACCCATGACACTGGACTTGCGGCTTCTTCAATCTTGAGCTGTGACCCCTTATGGGGCGAGCGTCTGCCAGCTCCAAGTAAGGACACTCGACTGAGTAGTGCCCCCTGAGATGCATATACACCTCAACTAGGTCCCCCCTTGCCCGTCTGTAGTACTACAAGATTATCTCCATAGAGAAGCAGCATATAGCAAGGCTGTACACCGCATATGACTTTATCAAGGTCTTATCCCGAATACCAAGTGGTCCCAGTACCTACACCACACATAGCACACTGACTCTTACACGCCATACAGTACCCCTGATAGCTTACTGGTGCCCAGCAGTGCCCTTATTGCCCAGTAGAGCAGCACATATCATATCTCCATTGGGCGTGACATTGACACTAACAAATGACTTTACAACCTATCCTTACGTCAACCTACTGTACAGTGTTCCACAGTCAACCATCATAATCACTGTTTAGTGTGCATGACTGAAGCTTGTAATGGACGAGCACCTGTAGTATTCATGTAAGTGTAATATAAAGTAGTTTAATTTCCCTTAAAAGTACAGCAGTATATTACTTTTTGTTCATGTCCCGTGTAGGTTATGTATCTAAGCTACTGTGCCGAGTAGCAACCTTGTATATAAGCTACTGTGCCGAGTAGCACCTATGTATATAATTACGTGGCAACACTGCACGTATTATGTGGCACACATTGCCACGAGGCTGCCATATGGCAAGGCAGTCTCAGTCTGACTGTGTGAGCCGTGCATGGCACACGCTAGTCACCACTTGTATTTCTCTCATCCATAATAAACGGACTTCAGTGTTACCTGGTGTTCCCCTACCCATCACTGCATTCTTCGGGGAACACTTGTAACCTTCATCCCGTAGTGAGAATGTTGGGTCTGTATTATACCTTGGAAATTTGACTCCTGATTGCTACGGTGGGGAACTGGTCTGGCACAATAAGGAACACATAGAGAACCCACCACTGGCTGGCCACGTTTAATAGTCCAAAACTCAAGTTTCTCAGAAATATCATCAACTCTGCTGCTGCTCCCACCAGAGAATCTTGTATCTTCACTCTGGGAAGGATCAAGGCTACGGACAGAACTATAAGTTGCCCTACGAGTTGACAGGTGGTATAATATATGCTGTATTGGTCCTGCCCCCAGTTGAACACCCTGCTAGTTCATAGATACAGGTTGTGAGGTACAGAGGTATTGTCTCCGAGCATGAAAGTTAGAAGAAATAATAGATGCGATCGCGTTTTTCCAGGCCGCCTCTTGAACACAGCATGAAATAAATTGACCACATTCTTCAGGTTCCAGGGACTTGTCTCTTTTTTTTTATCTGGGTCTTCATCCTTAAGAGATATTTTATCTTTGACCGTAATTAGAGCCACACCAAGAGCACTGCAGTATATGAGGAGAGAAATACTGAAAGTCCAAACAGTTCCTCTAACATCGTATATCCAAGTTCCCAATAATGTACCAAGTGGACATCCTAGATTGGTGATATCTGCCATGTAACTGTAAGATGCCATGAATAGCACAGGCCAGCCTCCGCCGATGCTCTGAAGGAAGTACGCAAGAAGGAGAACATAGGGTGGCCACGACGGGTGGAGCGCCACTAGGAGGTAAACGGTACCGTGAAGTATATTTCCAATTAGTGAGAGAAGGATGGGAAGACGTCGCCCACGCTTGTCACTCCAGGAAGCGATAAAAGATAGCAAGACGATTTGGACGATTGCACGTGCTAACTTTTGGTAAAAGATGAAGACAGTGTCGAGCTTTTGCACTTTTACTTGCAGGAGTGTGTGGTCTCCATCGCTGATTACTGCGCATTCCTCGGCAGTCTCATTCAGCGTTACACGACAGAACCGGTCAATTTTGAGGTTTTCCTGAATCACTCTTTGTATAAATAATGCTAGAAATTGTAGAAACATTACGGGTTCTACAGTAATGGATGAGAAAAACTCGTGAGTGACCCTCAAGAACTGTTTCCACGCACGTTCACCAGCCATGGCTGCTGCTCCCACAACTACACTACTTCATTATGGCGAATATTAAGGTCTAACAAAAATAAGCACTTGTCAGCGGCCTTGTCCTGGTAATAATGATAGGGTGAGTTTATTATATTTATATAATCGACAGTAATAACTATGTCTAAGAAAATTAAATAACATAGTCGTCGAAGGGCTCATCTGTAGTTGTTAATTCCTCCAGTTATTAATTTTGATGTGGGAGAAATATTTTTATTCTCTTCCTTCTTCCTCTTTTTCAACTTAATTTCATCATTATACAAGTAAATACTTCTCATTTTCATTTCGGTAGTCACGTTGTTTACTTTTTAATTGTGATATTTCTTTACTCTTATAATTTAGTTTAGTTTCTTCTCAGATAGACGATATAAAGTTTAGACAGTTTTTTGTATTTGTATTAAAACGAAAACTGAAACCAGTCGCAAATTTAGTTCTTTTTTTGTCTTAAGTTCCTATACCCGACACATACCTGATGTCTAACACAACGTCTTATCTCTAATGATTTTTAATTATTAATGTAATAGTTTAATTATTTACCTTCTGCGTAGCGCAGCCAAAACATTTTAACAACAACTGAGGACTCGGTATATCCAAGGATTCTATATTAAAGAAAGATGATGGCTCAGTCAATGGGCCAACCCAATTACCCCAGAGTCAACGGCTCTGGTCACCCCTGACTGTGGTGCCTGGGGTGTAGAAGCTGTCGGCAACATAACAACCACACCCTGGCCTAAGTTAACGAGCTGCATGACCCAGTGTCAAGGAAAAGTCAGAGAAGACCGGACAACTCCCCCAACTGCACTGGCTAACCATTATCCTGGAACACGATCCGCAAATCGATTAAGATTCCTGTTTCCAATTACTGCTGGGCAGACAGAGGCAAATGGCGTAAAGAAACTTGCCCATAGTTCACCCTGCCTGAGGATCGAACACGGGCGAGTATACAGACCATTAAACCACAGGTCGCAGTAGAGTATAAACAATAGTTGGTAGCCGTAGAGATTGAAGGGAGTGAGGCGCGTAATTTGGTTGAATGCATTGCCTTTTATTGTCTTGTGCACATTCTTTTACCATCTGGAATGGGATATAATTACTGTGTAGGTATTAAATGTTCCAATAACGCCAAAAGGAGCAGGAATTTCTCTTTTTTCAGATTTCCAAAGTATCCAGTCGGCCGCACGCCACTTTGTAAGTATCTAGATCCGCCTCTAGAAATAACGGAGCCCAAACAAAGGTTCCTCCTGAAACAAAAACCTGACAGCTTTGTTGACTATTCTTGGTCAAGTTGCCTTAATGTTTCCCATTGTTGTATACCTGTACTGTGTAGGGTCTCACAGGAAACTGTATACTGTACTCCATCGGCCTACATACACCCTATACCTACATTGTGTATATTCATGCTGAACTGTATGTATACTTGCATAGTTTACATACATGCCTATCCAACTGTAAACCTGTACGACAATTTCCCTGAATAAATATTATTATTATTATTAAAATATGGAATAAGCTTTAAGCTGTTTTGCACTGTAGAAGTTTCATCTTAAGACCTCTAGTCTTAAATTTCCAACAATATATTGGTAATTGTGTTATTCTGAAACATCAATACACTAACGCGTACAAAATAAGATTGTAAAAAAGTAGTGTCACTGCCGACTGTTACCAATTTGTAAAAACAGCAACGTTCTATATATCACTACTAAAATAGAAGTCTGTTTAAAACAAATCACAATATTTATTTCTATTAAATAACGTAAAACTGGCGAAAAGAGGTAGCTACTACCATCGCTCTTACTGAAGAACCCGAGGGCGAAAATTCTGTTAGGTGGACAAATATTATATTTGTGTGTAAAATAATCAATGTTTTGCTTTAAGTCATCATACCCAGATATCTAAATTTGGTTGTCAATAACATTCAGACTTCAAATAGATTGTTATCAAGGAAGAACCTGTATTATCACACAATATCACGAAAGCGTTTTTCTTAGGGTTAAATAAATTAAACTTTGAGGTGTTTTGAAAAAAAAAAAGAAGACATTAATGAAGTGGATGTCAGAATTCTAAAATATCTTTACTGGCAACAAGCGGTTGTAGCGTTAGTAAATAATGAACTTACTAGCTGGTCCTGTGTTTAAGCAGATGATACTGTTCTTAGCGCGGATACTGAAGAGGCATTACAAAAACTGGTAAACAGATTTGTGAAAAAATTTGAAAAATATGAGCTATTAGTTAAATCTGTTGCTCTTGAATTAGAAATAAATTCTGAAATCTAAATTATGGTAAGCAGCAGGGAACTTAAATGGGCAATTTTGTGCATTTAAGAAGTAACTGTAGTTGTGATAGTAGATGTGGAATATAAATTAAAACAAGACTTGGTTAGTAATTGAAGAAACCTGATTAAGAAGGTTACTAATTTCAACTTGAAAAAAAGTCTGCTGAAATATTATTAAAGGACTCTGAAATGCGGTGTTATAGGCAGATTTCAAAAATACTTAACACTGACAACAAGTCAAACAAAAAAGTGCGAAGACTAGTAAAAGTATCATGGAAAATCAATTAAAGTAAAAGCAGTGATCCTTAGAGAGACGGAAAACCTAGAAAGATTTTTAAGAACAGTCCGAAAACATTTAGAGCGGTGGACTGTGGTCACCAACCTTAAGAGACGATGATGGCATTTTGATTGATATAATTTGTGCACTGGCTTAAAGATGTGTATTTTCGTTCACTGATGTGGAAGTCTGGCCGTCATACTTTAAATCTACTGGAGAACTGTTGTGGTCTTGGTAGTTTGGTGAAACACTGTGCTGGGAGGATGTCTGTGTTAAGTGTTCTTCTTTGTCTTCAGGAACACTTGGGCTTACTCCTTGTTCAGGTAGTGTTGGAGGTCGACGTTCCTCACTGGCCAAGGACAACCTCAGCCCAAGGAATCCGCACAATGCATAAAAGCTAAAGACGGCAGCGACGAGGTGCTCGTAGGAGGGGTAGAAGGAGAGAGTAGAAGTGTAGATGGCGGTGAAGATGGCGCTGTCCACCAAAGGCCACAACACCTGGATGATGGCCAACAGCGACATGTATCTTCCTACCTCGTCACTATCACACAGCTGAAACATGAACCTTACATTACTAATTATCATAATTATAACATAAAGTCAGAGTGAAACATTTGCACAATACATATTTACTTTGCTTATTACCTATGTCCATCCTTGGCGAAAATTAAGTGCACATTTCTTTCTTTTACTTTTGGGGTGTGGGAGTCAACCACTGAAACTAAGGTCCCAAAATTCCATTTGCATAACACATTCGGGGGACTTACCACACGTGACGCAGTGTTATGATTCTAGAAGGTTTATACTATAACTGGTCTTCATAGGTAGAGATGTAAGAACGCACTGAACTGGTTAACGAGAGCAAAAACGCAGACGGCGAGGCAAGATATCAGTGAATATTTGGCTTATTTTTTGTTGTAATTAAAAGTGGATATTGAAATCTTTCTTCTTACTTCACTGTCATTCCCTGGCCTTTTTCTTGTACTCTATAACATAGAAACAATACAGCTTCAGTAGTGATGGATGAGAGAACGCAATGAGCAGAAATTCCATAGGTGTGTCAGTGCGAGGCCAACTGCATACTACATATGTCTCTCCCATTCAAGTTTACCTTTATAGCAAAAATAACCAACTCAAAACAGACAAGTCGGACATTCTTGAGAGCAAAGTTGCACTGTGCATATTTTAATGTGATTTTACTCATTGTACAGTGAGAGACAATTTAACTTAAAAATTTAATGGTTTTCATGATGCTGTGAGAATGATGATAGTTATTTCTGACCACCAGAGGGTCAAGACCTATTTGGCGTCCCGCTCCGGGGGCTGCCTGGGAGTGAAATCAGTGTTGAACAGTGATGGACAATGTTTAATCCGGTGAAATCACTTAACAGTCCAAGAGAGAACAGCCCGTGGGAACCTACCATATTCTGCTGACCAGGTGGTATGGTGTTAATCAGTCACTCTAGGAAACCGTGGGTCGGCTTTACACCCAAGTGTGAGGTGCTACAACACAACTTGACAGAGTGAGGTACTGTGACAACCACACCACATCACACCACACCACACGGTGTCTCCATGACATAACATGCACTCTTGAAAAACAAAATATATATATATCCTGCTTTATTTTAATAATTATAAAATTAAAGTAATGGATATAGGTAGTAATTTTACAGTCTTGTAACACAAAATATTGAGAAAAAAATGAGAGATTTGCGACCCCTAGACCGTATGTGATAACTGATCTAGAAGTTATGAAAATACTTAAAATGAGATTCGGAAATACGCAAGAAAAGTGTCATGGGTTGCGTTGGGCCTCTCCCACAACCCATACCAAATGTTTGTTTACGGTAGAGATAAGGTAACCGGCCAGCCATGACTGGGACATGTAGGGGGGGGCAGGCCAGTAAGAGAGTGGTGTACTGTTCATCACTTCACGCCTCAAAAAAACCAATTTAGCCAGTGGGCTTTAGACCTTGGGTTAGAGAAGACCTCCTGTTCCGCGGACTTAAGATCAGGGGCCATACAGTCCTACCAGTGCTACGGGTCTGTGTGTGCAAATCCCCGAGATTTTTGTTAAGTCCAGCGACAAGTTAACACATCCTGTAAAGGAAGTGATCAATGGTGAGGGCCTGTTTGCTACAAGAGCACTCCAGGCCGGCCTAATAGATCTAAACGATTAATTCACCAGGTTGACAACTCTCCCTTATAACTTACGGTACTGTGGCGTGAATGTGAGTGACTGACCTATCCATGCAAATTATAAGTCCAGTGTATGGAATTGTGCCAAATAAACGTAAGTGCAATCATCTGCCCGTATCTGTGATCCCTCTATTATTATTATTACCAAGGGTAATGACTGATTGGTTATGACAAAGTATAACCAATAACTTAGATGGATGTTGGAAGTTAGTGGAATTCATTAAATCATCATTTATCAAGTACATAACGCATTGAATGCCGGAAGCAGAGCAAAATTCTACGTAGTGATACACCATAATCTCTTGGGTGAGTAACCAGTGTGAAGGTATCCGAGTTCTACGGTAAGAAAGCCACTTTCCTGCATTTAAAACGTAACAATTGGCGCCCGAACAGGGACCCAGACCGTGGATGATTGCACAATTGTATCGCCCACACCTACACCATGTCAGCTCGTGCAGCGGCTTTTGAGGAAGCACGTGCCCTCGGGCTGGAGGGGGCTGAGGCGGTTGCATACATGGAGAAGGCTGAGGAGAGAGAAGACAAGGCTGCGGAGAGAGAAGACAAGGCTGCGGAGAGAGAAGACAAGCGACGCGAACACGAAGAACTCTTAGCCCAGCTAGACTTTCAGAAGGAAGAAAAGAAGCTGGAACGTGAAGAGAGACAAAGGGAACGGGCGTTCCAACTGGCCTTAGCGGAAAGGAACCAAAATTCTCCCACTCAAAACGTCACTTATAGGAAATGTCCCCAGATGCCCACCTTTAAGGAGGGCGAATCCATGGAAATGTACATTTCCCGGTTTGAGCATCTCGCAGAAGCCTACGAGCTTGATGACAGCATTAAGGAATTTGAGTTCCTGAGCCTATTTGATGGGAAAGCTTTAGGGATTCTTCGACGACTAGAGCGTCCTGAAAATAAATTCCCTGACATAAAGTCTGCACTGCTGCGGGCATATGGGCTGACTACTGAGCAGGCCAGGCATCAGTTCAACAGGGCAATGTTGGAAGAAAATGAAACGGCTGCACAGTTCCGGGATCGTTTAAGGGACTATGTGGCTCAGTGGATGAGTAAGGATGAAACCCCCAAGTCCGTGGAAGGGGTTATAGACTTAATGGTGCGCACGCAGTTTGAAAGGTCTTGTCCTCCTGAACTTGTGGCTCAAATCAGGGCTAATGGAGTTAAGACGTCGAAGGAAATGGCAAGCAAATCAGACGCTCATTTCAGCGCTTTCGGGTACCACACTCGGAGGCGGTGGTCGAACAGGGAGTCGGCAGGTAACCAACAAAGTCAACAACCTCTACAGAAACAGCCACCGAACCCACCCAGGCAACAAGGAAATAACCAGCAACCACAACCGCAAAGACAGCAACAGAAACAGCAGCAGAAGCAGTACCAAGGCCCCCCGAAGTATCAGGACAGTTGGCGCCCGGGTAACAATCCACGATGGAACCGGTGGCAGGAAGCCGCCGTGGCTCAGTTCGTAGGCCAAGGTGCCAGCAATAATAATCCACAAAGAGACCAGCAGCAGGAAGCCTCTGGTGTTCAAACTGTGGGCGGGGAGTGGCCTGACCTTCCAGCAGGGCCGATCGTCATGCAACCTGAAGCAGGGGCTCATACCGAATCAAGTCTACCCCAACACCCCTACTGACTAACTGCCGCCTCCAACCTCTCCTCGAGGGGTCACCCCACCTTTCTTGTTAAACCTGAATACGTTGGAGGAGTTCCAGTGACTGCCATGCGAGGTAGTGGGGCATCAGGCTGTATTGTCAGGAAGGAATTGGTGGGGCAACATCAATACACCGGAGCACAAGTAAGTGTTAAATTAGCCAATAGTTACATTCAAACGGTTCCAGTGGCCAAGATTGAGGTGGACACCCCCTTCTTCTCAGGTTGGGTCACTGCAGCAGTCATAAGGGAACCTATATACGATCTCATCATTGGGAATATCAAGGGAGCAAGAAACAGTTGTGCAGTGGATGCTGCAACCCAAACTGATGCTGCCGCTTTGACCCAAGTTAATGCTGCTGCAGTCACTTGGGGTATGGCCCAAACAAAACCTCGAGTCACCCCATTGGCTATTGGCACATCGTCTGATCTCATCAATAGTCAGGATGTCGTCCAAGAGCAAGAGGATGACAGCACGCTCACTTCGGTACACAAGAGTTTGATAGTTGGGACCATCAAGGAGACATTTGGGAATCGAACGAGGTTCGTAAAGAAGAGGAACCGTCTCTACCGAGAGACTGTGACGTCTCTGGGTGAAACACGACTGCAGTTCGTGGTTCCTTCCAAGTACCGCCTGGCTGTGTTCAAGCTAGGTCATTGCACTGCTCTTGGCGGTCATATGGGTAAAAAGAAGACCTTTGACCGCATCAGTGCAGCGTTCTTCTGGCCAAGGATGGGCCAGGAGATCACCAGGCTAGTCCGCTCTTGTGATGTGTGCCAGAAAACCAGTGATCGAGGGCGAGTTCCGCCTGCACCACTACGGCCCCTCCCACTGATCTCTGAACCCTTTGAGAGGGTGGCGGTGGACATTGTAGGGCCGATAAACCCAAGGGCGAGCGATGGGGCAAAGTATATTCTCACCTTGGTGGACTTTAGCACGAGGTGGCCCGAGGCTGTGCCCTTGAGGAACATTGAGGCCACGACTGTTGCAGAAGCCATGTTGGAAATCTTCTGTCGGGTTGGTATTCCCAAACAAGTCCTCAGTGACAAGGGAACCCAGTTTACTTCTGCCATGATGGAGGAGTTGATGCGGTTGTTATCGGTAAAGGGGCTAAAGACAACACCCTATCACCCGATGTGCAACGGACTCTGTGAGAGGTTTAATGGGACGCTGAAGAAAATGGTCAGGAGGATGGCAGCCGAACAACCTAAGGAGTGGCCACGCTACATTGCCCCACTTCTGTTCGCGTACCGGGAGGCGCCACAGAGCTCGCTCAAGGTGTCTCCCTTCGAGCTTATGTACGGCAGGTCCGTCCGGGGACCACTACAGGTTCTTCGGGAACTGTGGGATGATGAGGAATCAGATCCGGAAGTCAAGACCACTTATACATATGTCATTGACTTAGCTAATCGTCTCCAAGAAACCTGTCAACTGGCAAAGCAAGAGCTGATAAAGGCTCAAGAGGTCGAGAAGACTTACTATGACAAGAAGGCCAAACTTCGTTGTTTCAAGCCAAGTGATCAGTGCCTGGTTCTGTTGCCTACGATGAGCAATAAGTTACTGGCTCAGTGGAAAGGTCCATTCGACATTGCAGAGCGTGTCTCGGATCTGACTTACATCGTCCAGGTGGGATCTCGACGAAAGAAGTTCCACATCAACATGCTGAAGAAGTACTTCCAGTCACCGA